CGCGAAAGATGAGATGTGTGAGGGGGCGGCCTTTAAGAAGGCGGGGGGGGTCGTAGAAGGCAGGGGACTCATTGGAAGCGCGTGGATGTTTCTCTGTTTCTAAGAAGGCTTCTTCGGCGCCAGGAGGCCTCCGAAGATGCGAACTGCCTTCTCAGAAGCCCCACCGCCTTCTTACAAGGCCATCCCCCTTCTGCGCGCCGCCATTCCCGTCGGGGCACCCGAAAGGCCGCCATCTTCTCCCAACCTCCCCTGGCCTCTCCCCCCATCTCCTCCCCAACTCCCCATCTCCTCCCCATCTCCTATCTCCTCCTCCTCCCCGACAGGCCTCCTCCTCCCCAGTTCCTCCTCCCCCCCTCCTCCCCATCTCCTCCTCCCCGAGAGGCCTCCCCCTCCCCGTCTGCTCCCCAACCTCCCCATCTCCTCCTCCCCCGCCCCTTCCGAGCCCCATCTCTCCAGCCCTCCGCGGCGCCCAGCGCACGAGTCCGCACCAGGTAGATGCCAGGCGGGGCCACATGCGCGCGCCGCCACGACCGCGTGCCGAAGCCCTTCCGAAAGCACTGCTCCTCCAGGAATGCCACGATCTTGGCATCGCTCGGACGTGTGCATTTTTCCTTCGGCGAGGACCATCGAGGAGCATCCTTGATCAGTTGGCGAAAAACCACGCACGAAACCGAAAAAAACGCAGGACACGGACGTCCGAGCGATGGCGAGCGATGGAGCTGTTCAGAGCACGCGACAGCACACAGTTGCTTCCTTGGCTGGCATTCCTCCCCTTCGGGGCCCCGGGCACAGGTCGCTGGAGGTGCTGAGGCCGTTCCTGGGCCGGTGGCGCACGAGCGACGGCAGCCTGCACACCGTCGGCGCGGAGGCCATCCGCTGGGCCGGCGGCACCGCGAGCGACATCTCCTGGAGGCAGCGCAGGGAAGGGAGGGAGCAGGGAGGAGGGAGGAGGAGGAGGAGGAGGAGGAGGAGGAGGAGGAGGAGGAGGAGGAGAAGGAGGAGGAGGAGGAGGAGGAGCCCAGCCCGCCCTACTGACACTTCTGGTGAAACAGCGAGGAAGAGCAGCATGCAAGGAACAGAAATTGAAAGGGAGGGGAAGGAGAGGGGAAGGAGGAGGAGGAGGCGGTGGCGGAGAGCAAGGAGCAGGGGAAGGAGGGAGAGGAGCGGGAGGAGGAGGAGGAGGAGGGGGTACAGGGGACGTCCCAAAGTTCCCGACTCCCGGCGAGAAGATTTCCCCAGCCACTCGAGATTCCTTCCTGGGGCGGGGGGCCACCAATCATTCGCAGGGGTGAGTCCGCAGGGCCAAAGGAGGAGGAGGAGGAGGAGGAGGCGGAGGCGGAGGCGAAGGCGGAGGAGGAGGAGCAGGAGGAGGAGCTGACGATTGAGATGGGGGAGAGGAGCGGGAGGTAGCGGAGAGAGGAGGAGGAGGAGGAGGAGGAGGAGGAGCAGGAGGAGGAGCAGGAGGAGGAGCTGACGATAGAGATGGGGGAGAGGAGCGGGAGGTAGCGGAGAGAGGAGCAGGAGGAGGAGCAGGAGGAGGAGGAGGAGGAGGAGGAAGAAGAAGAAGAAGAGGAGGAGGAGGAGCAGCATCTTCTCAGATGTCAGGATCCAGTGGTCTTCTGGCAGGGGAAGACAACAGACCAAGGCGGCCTGTCGTCCCCAGGAGGATGTCCAGAGTAAGCCGAATGATTCACCAAAGATGGCATCACACCCTCCCATATCAAGACTATCCTCGTAATTCTCCCCCTGTGTTCGTTTACATTTCGGGGGGGGCATTTTGACAGGCGAACGCACCGTGGGCCCGCCGTTCTGGCAAGGCCCCACGTTGTAAAAGGACCGACCTTCCATTCAAGGAGAATGTGTAGGTTCATAAAAGGTCTAGGAAGAGCCCAGCGACAGCTAGATCTTGAAATGGTCCACACTCCATCTGTGCAATCGCTGCACAGTTCAAGAAGGTCTGTTCATCATCTCTTAGGAAGTCACATTCGAGAGTGCGATACAAGGAACCGCCATCCGTCCGTGTAAGTGTTTCACACATGGGAATTGTGGCCCAAGAATCCAGAGGAAGCACCATGTTGAAAACGAAGCGCCCCCCCGTCTGTATAACTGCTGCAGGCGGTTAAGACGAATGCGCGCAACGCTAAGGCGAGAGCCCCGTTTTGAGCCCTCCACCCGCGTAAATGTCGCAAGCGTGCAAGATGAATGTGCAGCAGCGCCAAGGCGAGGGCCCCATTTTGAAATCGCTCCCTCCCTCCATCTGCGTCATTGCTGCAAGCTGCTGCAAGCTTTCAAAGCGAATGAGCGCGTCGCCAAGGCGATAGCCCCATGTTGAAAGTGAGTTGGGCTGCTCCGTTCACCTGACTGACGGAGGTCCCCAGCTTCGACAGCAGACATGGCGATGATGTTTGTCCAGGCGCCACGCCCAGCCGCCCTAACTACACGTCTGGTGGCGACAGTAAGGAGTTATCTAGAATGAAGAGGGGTGGAGAAGGTTTAAATAGAGCTGGGGAGAGGGGGAGGCAGCGGAGAGGGAGGCAGCGGCGAGGGAGACAGCAGAGAGGGAGGAGGAGGAGGAGGAGGAGGAGGCGGACAAGTAGCAGGAGCAAAAGCAGGAGCAGGAGCAGGAGGAGGAGCAGGAGGAGCCAGGTTTCAGAATCTGGTGGTGGTTCCCCCTGCTGGGAGAGGGCACAGCCCAAGGCGGCCTGCCGTCCCCAGGAGGAGGACGGCGGCGACGCGAGCGCGAAGAGGAGGAGGGGTGCGAGGAGCCAGGAGGCGGAGGAGGAGGCGGGAGGCGGAGGCGGAAGAATGGGAGGCAAACGAGGACGGGAAGGAGGAGGAGGAGGCGGTCGTGGCGGGGGAGAGAGAGGCGGAGGAGGCGGAGGAGGAAGAGGCGGATAAGGGGCAGGAGCAGGAGGAGGAGGGGGGGAGGAGAAAGAGGAGGAAGAGGGGGCAGGAGGAGGAGTGGGATGATGATGATGTCGATGAAGGCGCGGACGAGGAAGAGAAGGAGGAGGAGGAAGAGGAGGAGGAGGAGGAGGAGGAGGGGGGAGGAAAACGAGA